AATTTCGTGAGTGATCTTAATTTTGATTGGCTCATAAAGGAATTTATACACGTTTGACTGCCTCTACTGTACTTTTCTGCCTCTTTGTTGGTTAAGCTTGATTTCGCAAAATTTATTTATTTCAGTTAGCTATGAAATGTGAGGTTCGGGTATATTATGGGGTGGGGGTGGTAAAATTTGCCCCGTCATTTTTGACGGGGGCTATACGCTAGTAATAATCACAATAATGAGCATTTTAAAAACACCAATACTTACTTTGTTGGTGTGTTTTCTTCTTCAGAAACACAACCTGAATCGTCTTCCTCGCTTTTACTCTCCTGATCTCGCTTTTCTATCCCTTTGTTATCCTTATGACAATGGGCATCATCTGGGTCCAAGGTAGCATGAGAAGAGTCATCTGGTTGAGAAGAATACGCTCTAGACACGCCCCCACCCGTGGCAGCTGCGAGTGCTGGGGTGGATGACAGTAACCGCCTCACTAAAGTTTGATTTGAAGAATGCCGATCGGGACCCGAGCGAGTAGAAACTAATATTTTTTTTATGACGGACACGGTAGTTAAAGATGTTCGAGCTGGCATATTTACATACACAAAAAATAACGAATATACTTCAAACTGTAGAAATACCTCCTATATTAAACTTTTAAAGTACTGCAGTTTGTGTTAATATCCATCGAAATAACTGCAATCGCCAATCTAACCAAACGTCCTGAATTAACAGCCGATTAATGCTGTTTAAGCCACAACTTACACTAGAGACTTTAACCGCCAACCGACAAATACCAGTTAACGACCAGAGAATAAACCGCACAGTTCAACCCGGCATTGACCCTACACTGATGTATGTTCGGTGCCTGGAATGGCAGACGATCAGTGGTCGATGGGGGTGGAAGACGCGGACCTTGGTTGAAGCAGGAGGCAAAGTAATCTCGACGCCGGCGTTTATCAAAGGTCAAAGGTCACTTCGTATCATATATCCTTTTACCTCGTCTTTCTTAGAAATGGTTGGCTAGTTCACTTAATCTGCCAGCGTAAATCAGTAACAGAATGCTCTTAGTATTATTTGCCCTACGACAATAGCTAGGATTGATAACATGTGAAAATTAAACTACAATGGTATCGCTCAAAGCTCACAGAGGTTATTTCTGGAATAGATAAGAAGGAACAGCAAATAATAAACATGCTGTTGTTCCTATAGCAGGTTCAAATCGCAGTTTTTTAATTTAAAAACTACTAATCTCAATTGAAAAATAGAGGAAAATTCAACCTCCAATTTTGGCTGAAAAAAAAAGAAGCTAAAGCAGAAAGAGGTAATGTAAAACTATTTTAGTAGCTCATAAAAAATATAAGTAAATTGAATTGGTACTGAAATAGAAAAATATGCACTTTGACCCCTCCCTTTCCCTCAAACACTTTATAAAAGAATTTTAAACTTTCGAAATAGAAGGGCAATGAAGAGAGTGATGAATTGGAACAGATAAACAGATAAATTGTGCACTTTGTAAAAATAATAAAAATAAAAGAAATGTATGGCTTATCTGTTCTTGAATTACTCTACCCTGATATATCATTCACACAAACTTACCAATGACACGATACTCGTACTTTCTCATAATCTGAGACCCAAAGAAACAAAAACTGATATCTGGTGGAATAAATTTCGATATATTGTTCAAAATGTTAGGCCTCTCGAAATTTATTTTCATTTGTAAAAGCCTTATCACGCTTTCAGTTGTGAAGATGAAATTATTAGCTAGGAGAGCTTATTATTGTAAATAATTATTTGTTGCCAGTTTAATTGATACGCTCGTGTAATCACATTATATAACTTTCTCCTTTTGAGCGTCCCTCTGCAGATTTTAGATGCTGATAGACACATTTTGTGTGTGTGTGTGTGTGAAAGCCTGTCCCCCCCCCCATTACTTTGTATGCTTGTATTGATGTTTACAAATGTTAAATCTACACGAACGAGGTAGTGCACAGTTTGAAATAATTTTGAAAGATTGCGTGAAAGGGAAGGACACTGAAGTTAGGACATTCCGTGAACCCCGAGTACCACAACAGACGCAAAATCCTTTGATATTTAATTCATGAACAACTGAAGACTCTTTATTATTTATCATTATTTTTACAAACAAGTGATCTTGTTAACTAAGGGCGATAAGAAAATGATTTTCAACGAGGTTATAAACTAAAGTATAATATTTTCTCGTAGTAAGAATTGAACACTAGATCATGGCTAGCTAACTTTGTTTGAAAGTGGGAGGAGCGGGCAAAAAAATCGAAGTCAGTATAACATAGCTCTTAATAATAGTGTACGTACACTAACTGAAGATGGGGGTGGGAGGCACTTGTCCCTTCTGCCTTGTGTGTTAGGCGCCTATGCGTTAAATAAAATTACAATTTAATATTCTGCATGGATACCGGTTTTTAGCATTTTTTGTTTCATCTTATAAGTTACCGCATTTTTTTTATTCACTGCTTTATTGGTTTTTACTACTTAAAGTTCTTATGTATTTCATACTTCGAAATCATTTTAACTGTTGAAAACTGTTTCCAAATATAGCAAAATTGTAATGTTTTTTTTTTTGCATCACCAATGCATACTGTTTCACTATGCATTTTATTTCATAGTTAAAATGGCGCTAAATACTCACCAAAGCTACAAGCAAGCACAAAAATGTACACTTGTATATTACACATGTAATTTATTATGCATTGTTATACTGATTCATACATACTACTATAAGTTTATATATTTGTATAGAAAAAAAAATTTGAAGTGCAAGTTAAAGTTTGAAAAACCATACAATTGCTGTGACAAAATGTTGCCCGGTCTGCACAAAAGTGATGCAAAAATTTTTAAGCACTCCCTAGCTTGTTGAGGTGAGCGGAAATGTTAAGTAAGAACGGTAAACGTTAACAATCATTGTTTGGTCCAAACTTTAATCATTTTTTTTTCTTTACAGTAGTTTTATCCATTTTATTTTGATACTTTCGTATTTTATCACTTTATATTTGCATTTGTTTGGTATCCTTGTTCTTTGAACTAATTCGAAGTCACTTTAGTTTCTAATAATTGTAATCATTAAGAACATAAAAAAAACATTTTTTCTTTCTCCCTTCTTTGGATCATTATTTAAATCTATATAACTATTCTTCAGAGAAATGTGTTTGCAGTTCATCTACGAGGTGTGGGAGTACTGGAAAGTACCGACTTGTTTGTTTATTGTTAAACACAATGGGCTATCTGCGTACTGTACACCACGGGTATCGAGACCCAATATTTAGCGTTATACTCCCCGAGACTTACTGCTGAGCCACAGGTGGCGTGAGGAGAAGTACAAATGACATTTGTGTGTTCCTTGGGATTAGGCGGAAGTGTTAAGGAAAGATGCAGTATCTACATGATAGCAGCCGGTTGAGTTTTATGGTATATGTATACATGACAGTCTAGATAGGAATATGAAATATATTAAACTCTGTCTTGCCAGGAGCGCCATTTCAGATTTTAATGGAGGGGGGGGGGTAAATTAGTGTTGGAGGTCGAACCTTTAAATGAAGAAAAAATAAATAATGCAGTCTGTTTTAGGATCATTTTATCTGATTGTTTCCTATATTATAACCCATAATAACCAATCAAATAAAGCAAACTAATCATATACATGTATGTACTGTTCGCAAATTAAACAAATGATATTAAATGGCGCCTCTGTGTCTTGCCTCTGAGGAAGGGTGTGTGTGTTGTTATAGCAAAGCTACATTGGTTGTGTGTGTGTATGTGTTTTGTTATAGCAAAGCCACATTGGGATATCTGCTGTGTCCACCCAGGGGAATCGAACCTCCTGATTTTAGCGTTGTAGATCCGGGTGGGGGGCGGAGGAAGGGAAGCACAATGTCTAGTCCGAACGATTTGCATTCCGTATTCAAATATTGATTATTATTCGTGTGATTTTTAACTTCTTTATTAATTTGTAGTTTTACATCCACTCTCAATTTTTCCATCACTTGTTTTAATTTTTGCTTATTTTACGAGTAATAAATAAACAAATATTGATTACCATTTTTTATTTAATTTCTACTTCTTTAAAAATATGTTGGACTAAGTTTCACATCGATGAGAGAATGATATAACTTGTGTTTCTAGTTTTGTCACATAATGTGAATTTTTATATGTTGTATTGCTAAATAATTATTTCACAAACGTCTGTTTGTCTATGATCTCCCACTCATGTTACTTCCGGGAGAGGCCCGGCATGGCCAGGTGGTTAAAGCGCTCGACTCGTAATCTGAGGGTCGCGGGTTCGAATCCCCATCACACCAAACATGCTCGCCCTTTCAGCCGTGGGGGCGTTATAATGTGACGGTCAATCCCACTATTCGTTGGTAAAAGAGTAGCTCAAGAGTTGGCGGTGGGTAGTGATGACTAA